GCTCAGATGATCCTCCCACCTCAGCCTCTCCAGTAGCTGAGACGACAGGCACACACCACCAAGCCTGGTGTTTTTTTTTTTTTTTTTTTTTGGTAGAGACAGGGTTTTATCTTGTTGCCTAGGCTGGTCTTGAACCGCTGAACTCAAGCAATTCACTCACCTTGGCCTCTGAAAGTGATGGGATTACAGGAGTGAGCCACCACACCTGGCCTATCAGGCTTCATTTTTAAGACCTGTACATAACTGAAATATTTCTGTCTTAAGACCGACCTTAACAAGTAAGCACTATCATTATCCCCATTTTATAAATGAAGAAACTGAGGCATAGAGGTCCAAGGTCATCCTAAGTGACAGAACTAGCTGCAGCCCAGGAAGTCTGGTTCATGATTATTAAGGGGAAAGACTGGAGATGCCTAATCAGAAGGGAGAAAAAATGGGTCAGAGAATGGAAATGACAGTGATCAGAAAATAACAGGCAGAGGTAACAGGGCAGCTAGACCTTGGGAGAGGGGAGTTCTCACTTGGAAGGGAAAAGTTGGGCAGGGATGCTGATAGGAAGGGATAGAAATTGGAGGAGAGGAAGTTGGGAACTCACACTGTGTATCCATGTAGGGACAAGATGAGGATTCTGTTTACCTTCTGCATAGCAGAGAAGGAACTTCCCCACATCGGGCAGGGCAGGGTCTCTGTTAAAGACTGACACCAGAGGCCGGGCGCGGTGGCTCACGCCTGTAATCCCAGCACTTTGGGAGGCCGTGGTGGGTGGATCACGAGGTCAAGAGATCGAGACCATCCTGGTCAACATGGTGAAACCCCATCTCTACTAAAAATACAAAAAAAAAAAAAAAAAAAATTAGCTGGGCATGGTGGCACGTGCCTGTAATCCCAGCTACTTGGGAGACTGAGGCGGGAGAATTGCCTGAACCCAGGAGGCGGAGGTTGCAGTGAGCCGAGATCATGCCATTGCACTCCAGCCTGGGTAACAAGAGCGAAACTCCGTCTCAAAAAAAAACAAAAAACAAAAAAATTAGCTGGGCATGGTGGCACACGCCTGTAATCCTGGCTACTCAGGAGGCTGAGGCAGGAGAATTGCTTGAACCCAGGAGGCGGAGGTTACAGTGAGCTGAAACTGTGCCACTGCACTCCAGCCTGGGCGACAGAGTGAGACTTCATCTCAGGGAAAAAAAAAGACTGACTCCAGTGAGCACCAGCCACTGATGTTAATATTTGTACCCTAAAAACCAACTTGAGAATCACCAGGGGTATACACACCACATTTTGCAAAATGTTGAGATCACCCCTCTCTAAAAAATATAAAGTGCTTTGGGTAATATTTTATGAATTTTCAAGACTTTTCTGTTTCCACGACTAGTTCATAGACAAAATATACAACTTAAAACACATGTGCATCTGCTCATGCGCAAACACACACACACATCATTGCTCAATGAAAATATCAGGCATAGAACTGCTTTATCACACATTTCACCAGCTCCTCATGTTTCTTCAACACTTGGCTTTTCAAAAACAAATTTTTTGGACATGTTTTGTCTTTTAGACTTTCCAGTTTTCACAGACCAAGATGTTAATAAACAACTTGGGGAAATTGGGTAAGTGTTGTCATATTTGTAAATATCAGGATTTCTAAGAAGAAAAAATGTCATGTTTTGCCCTTAGTGATGTAATAGCACTTATGTGGAAATTCACCCATAGTATGTTAAGTAAGTATGTAAACTGTGGTCAAACTCAAGTATACCAGACTATTCAGGTACTAAAACTAACACTAATGCAAATATGTTTTAAAGTAATGTATAAAAATGTGAAGTGTGACAGAGTAAGAGCAAGTCCTTTAGAGACAGTCATGTCTAGCACTAGCATCATAGTATCATGTACTAGTATATACTGGTGTAACACACTACCATTACAGGATTATTGTGAAGATTAAGGGAGATAGTGTGGCTGGGAGCGGTGGCTCATGCCTGTAATCCCAGCGTTTTGGGAGGCTGAGGCAGGCGGATCACCTGAGATCAAGAGTTTGAGACCAGCCTGACCAATATGGAGAAACCCTGTCTCTACTAAAAACACAAAATTATTAGCCAGGTGTGATGGCACATGCCTGTAATCTCAACTACTTGGGAGGCTGAGGCAGGAGAATTGCTTGAACCCAGGAGGTGGAGGTTGCAGTGAGCCGAGATCACACCACTGAACTCCATCCTGGGCAACAAGAGTGAAACTCTGTCTCAGAAAAAAAAAAAAAAACCTGTAGCTGGGACTACAGGCTTGTGCCACCACACCCAGCTAATTTTTGTATATTTAGTAGAGACGGGGTTTCACCATGTTGCCCAGATGGTCACGATCTCCTGACCTCGTGATCTGCCCGCCTCACCTCCCAAAGTGCTAGGATTTTAGGCATCAGCCACCATGCTCAGCCAGATCTTTTTAAATATTTCATGTGATGAAATGGGAAGTACCCATAAAGCACTTCTGCTGTGTACTGAAGTATGATTGTTATCCTGAGGTGAAGCACTTGTACCTCCATTTGAGTTGGGAATTAACTAGCCATATTTTTCATGGAACACGTTTTTACTTGAATAAATGACACAAACTGTGGTATTCAGATTTGGGTATTTTGGCAGACATTTTCTCAAGAATTAATGAAGTAAGTCTGTTACTTCAAGGAAACAACTGAAAATATTTGTTACCACTAATAAAACTCAAGCTGAATAGCTTCCCAATACTTATAAAGACTTTTATGATGAGATCAATGGTGGTACATTCCAGCTTGGGTGACAGAGCAAGAACCTGTCCAAAAAATAAATAAATAAATAAAGCAAGGAGTATTTCAGCTCTTTTTTCTTAATGCAGACATGTAGCCTATCTTTCAAAAAAGGACTTTGTTTGCCTTCTTTTAAAAGACTTTTATGATGAGATCAATGGTGGTGATATTAATGTGATTCAGCTGATATCGTGTAATGACATGTGACAATATTTATAAGATCTGCATAACTCATTTTCCAAATGAAAATACATGCTGTTATGCAATCAATCACACGTATGTAAAAAAATCCATTCAAAGTGAAAAACAGAATGGATTTCCTTGACATGGTTTTAGATTTCACATTGGAACTAATCTTTAAGAAACCATAACTTGTTGGCTGGGTGCAGTGGTTCACACCAGTTATCTCAGCACTTTGGGAAGCCGAGGTGGGTGAATCACCCAAGGTCAGGAGTTGAAGACCAGCCTGGCCAACATAGTGAAATCCTGTCTCTACTAAAAATACAAAAATTAGCCAAGTGTGGTGGCACATGCCTGTAGTCCCAACTATCTTGGAGGCTAAAAACATTTTTTTTTTTTAGAGACCAAGTATCATTCTGTCGCCCAGGCTAGACTGCAGTGGTGAAACCTCAGCTCACTGTGACCTTCACCTACTAGGTTCAAACAATTCTCCTGCCTCAGCCTCCCAAGTAGCTGGGACTACAGGCATGTGCTATCATGCCCAGCTAATTTTCGAATTTTTAGTAGAGACAGGGTTTCACCATGTTAGCCAGGCTGGTCTTGAACTCCTGACTTTAGGTGATCTGCCTGCCTTGGCCTCCCAAAGTACTAGGATTACAGGCGTGAGCCACCACAGCCAGCCCAAGAGTGTAATGAGATTCTGAGACTAAAAAGTTTAAGAACCACTATCTTAAATAGTTCTGCAAAGTTGGGCTGGTTATCCCAGGAAGACAGTGCTTAGAGCCAAACCTACCGTAAGAAATGATCATTTCCTAGTAAGTTTCAGCAGTGGAACACTGTTAGGGAGGAAATTCAAAAGCTAGAGTTAGTACTGTAATAGTTCATGTTTACAGTAACAGGTAATAACAGGTAAGTGGAATAGATTAGGACGGTTGGTTTCAAGGAAGGCAAACAAAGTCCTTCTTTGAAAGATAGGCTACATGTCTGCATTAAGAAAAAAAGAGCTGAAATACTCCCTGCTTGCTCTATTTATTTATTTGACAGGTTCTTGCTCTGTCACTCAGGCTGGAATGCAGTAGTGTGATCAGGGCTCACTGCAGTCTTGATCTCCCTGGCTCAACCAATCCTCCCATCTCAGCCTCCTGAGGAGCTGGGACCATGGGCATGCACGACCATGCCTGGCTAATTTTTTTGGATTTTTCTGTAAAGATGGGGTTTTTGTCATGCTGTCCAGGCGGGTCTCAAACTCCTGGGCTTACATGATTCTCCTACTCTGGCCTCCCAAAGTGCAGGGGTTATAGGCATGAGCCACCCAGCTGGTGTAAAGACAGGATCTTGCCATGTTGCCCAAGCTGGTCTTGAACTCCTGGGCTCAAGCAATCCTCCTGCCTCAGCCTCCCAAATTGCTGAGGTTATAGGCATTAGCCACAGAGCCTGGCCCTGTTTGTTCCTGATGTGTCTCCAGATAGATTAGGGAGAAATTTGTCCTTCTGTGATTCAAATAAGACAAAGGGAGTGGCGAGTGGCAATTGGATCTCACCAGGGCCCACAATTTGAACTTAAGGTGGAAGGTCATAATAAAGAGTGTTAGAACATTTCCTTGCTGGAATGGTACCAAGGTCAACCACAGAAATTTAGCTTTAAGATTGATGTAGGAACCCCTCAATTTTCAGTCTCCTTTCCAGTCAACAAGTGAACAATGCCAGCCCTGAGGTCTAAGAGCTTTTCAGATTCTGGCCTTCAGTCTTACGGTAACGATGTTAAAACTTGAATATTGTTTAGGCTCTGAATTTAATAAGCAATAAAAACCATGAGAAACCATTTGACCCATTTCAGCCTCTTGATGTCCTAAAATTTCCATCTCACTGGGATGAAAAGAAGAAAGGCATGATCCAAGCAAAAAATGGGTTGTCTGTCCAAGAGGAAAAGAAAGCAATAGAAGGAATTCTAGCTTTAGATGGGATTGTTTCTGAAAATAGGAGACACGGAGCACCACCAACGAGGTCAACGCCAAGGACTGACCAGAAGTCACCCAGTAGTCTTTCCAAGCCTTCCTTTAATCATTGAGGAAGCATTCCTTCCATATCCGCCCAATCCATCTTGGTCACAAAAGACCATTTATCTTCCTCAAGACTGCTTCTATGTGAAAAAAATAAAGAATAATAATTCACGTGATCCCTGGAGTCAGCCTGGCTGGATCTCAATCCTGACTCTACCAATTGTAATGACCTGGGAAGACGATGCCATCGCTCAGTCTTTAATTTCCTTCTCTGTTAAAATGACAAGGTGCAGTACTGATTTTATAAGGTTCTTTTGAGGATTATCTAAAATAATGACTATCAAGCACTTAACACAGGAGGACATGGCACACACTGAGTGCCGAATAAACGGTAGTTATTATTAGGGATATTCTTTGCTTCGTATTCCCATCTGTGAGCGTTTTTTTTTCCGTTATTTCTCCGCAGAAACCCTTTCTCTCGGGGCTGCTGATCTGCGAAGCATCTGGTCCTTCATATCCCTGAGTCATCAGCATAAAGATGCCGGGTTTCCGAAGTCCTCCCTCCTCCTTCTGCTCTCTAGGGCTCCCTCTCCTGACTGCTTAGTTCTCCTGGGGGCCCACAACTAAATTTCGTGACGGCTTGTCTTTCTCGGGGCCGAGCCACCCGTCTTGGAGGAACGTCCTCAGTCCCCTTTGCCCCAGAGACCACCAGACAGGCAGCGACGTGACCCCGAGGCGCGCCCGGACTTCCAAGTGGCCGGGGGCCGGGCGGTGCCAGGAGGTGAGCAGGAGGCGGTGGGCGGGGCCACGCTTCGTCCGAGGTGAGAGCAAGGCCACACCCCGAGGTGCGAGAGCTGGAGGCGTGGCCCCACCCAAGGCGAAAGCGAGGCTGAAGGCGGAACCACGCCCAGAACTGGATGCGATGCCAGGGGCGTGGCCGCGCCGGTGAGGCGGCTGGGACCGTTAGGGTTGTGCTATCCGCCTCCTGGGCGTGAGGCATTGCAGGGGTTAAGGCCGCCGGCGCCACCTGGGCGCCGCTGAGGAGACCTGCGAGCCGGCGAATCCCGGGCGCGGGCCCGGCGAACAGGTGCCCGCGCGCGTCAGGCGCCGGCACGGGGCGGGGCGAGGGGACGCGGCCGGAAGCCCGGGGCGGGGCGCGGCCGGCCCGGTGAGCGGGAGGAGCCGGGGAAGGCAGGAAGGAGCTCACCGGGCTGCGCGGCGCGCGATGTGGAGCCGCCGCCTCGGCCCCTGCAGCAGCAGCAGCCGCCGTCGCCGCCGCTGCTGCTGGGGCTGCCGCCGAGCCGAGGGTCATGGAGCGCGGCTGCAGAGAGCGGCCGCCGGCAGCAGCAGTGAGCGTCGCGGCGACCGCGGAGCGCAGCCCGCCCCGTGAGGCGCTGCCCGGCCGGCGGCGGCAGCAGCAGCAGCGGCGGCAGCGGCAACAGGGCGGCTGAGAACCCGGCGGCGGCTGCGGCGTTTCTCCTCGCTTCCTCCCTTCTCGCTTCGCCGTCCCTCAGTCTCCATTCCCGAGTCCTCCCTTTCCCAGCCTTCCCATTCCCACCGCAGCCTCCGCTACTACCCCCTCCTCTAGCTCGCGCGTGAGCAGCTGAGCCCGGGGGCGGGGAAGGGGGCGCGGGGGAGGGGCGGGCCGGCGCGCGCCGCGCCCAGGGCTCGCGGGGACCCGGGGGGCGCGTGCCGCGGCGCGAGGCGAGGCGCGGGGCGCGGGGCGGCGCGGCGGGGCCCCTCCCCCCTGCAGCCTGGCGCGCGCCGGCCGGGCCGCACCGCTGCGGGCTCCGCGCGCGCGGGCCATGTCCGCCTTCTGCCTGGGCTTGGCCGGCCGCGCTTCAGCACCTGCTGAGCCGGACAGCGCCTGCTGCATGGAGCTGCCCGCCGCGGCCGGGGACGCAGTCCGGAGTCCCGCCGCCGCCGCCCTCATCTCCTTCCCCGGGGGCTCCGGGGAGCTGGAACTGGCGTTAGAGGAGGAGCTGGCGCTGCTGGCGGCCGGGGAGCGGCCGTCCGACCCCGGGGAACGCTCTCAGGCCGAGCCTGGGCCTCTGGCTGAGGGGGCCGGACCGCAGCCGCCGCCCGCCCAGGACCCCGAGCTGCTGTCGGTGATCCGGCAGAAGGAGAAGGATCTAGTGTTGGCGGCTCGGCTGGGCAAGGCGCTGCTCGAGAGGAACCAGGACATGAGCCGGCAGTACGAGCAGATGCACAAGGAGCTGACAGACAAGCTTGAGGTGAGTGCCTCCCGCCCAGGATTGGAGGGGAGCAGGGGCGGCCCAGGCACGCGCCCGGCCCTGGGCAGTTTGGGGAGCTACTCACCCCCACTTCGTGGCTCACCCTACCCTCACAGAAAACCACCTGGAATTAACGCGGGAGGTAGGATGGAGGATGGAGGATTATCAGATCAGGTCATTCATTGAACCCACTTGACTTCCCCACCCCGCTCACGGCAAATAGGTCCATGCATGGCTCCAGCCGCTGTGGGCCGTTCTATATATGTACTGTACCCAGCATCTAAAATAGAGCTTACAGTATGACTAATTTATACAGCACTGAGGTGATGTCTGCACACAGAAATGAGAAAGTCGAGAAGCATTTAAAATATGCTCCAGGTTTTCAGAGAAGTAGTTAATCTCTAATCAGGGTGTTAGCTTAAAGCTTTCCAGTTTGGGTGTTAAGGCCTCTAGTTGCCCTTGTCTTAACTTCCTGGCAACTCAGAGTTGTGGGAAACAAGTGCCCCTAAAGGAGCTTTATATAGCCTTCAAATGCTCAGGGATTAGGAAATGTGGTTCTCTTGCAGAAATCAGGCAAACCAGGGCTCAACATGTGACCGCTGGTAGTGGATTTCATTTGGGCCTCAGTATTTGTGTGTATTTAAACAGTACTTTTCTGTGTTCTGGGTTTCAGGCTTGCAGCTGAATGACCAAATGCAACCTATGAGAAACATATTACTTTAACTTCTGTTAAAAATACCACTTTAGGTATCTTGCACTATTTCTGCCAATTCCCTGGGACAGTCTTTCAGAGTTGTTTTCTTGCCCTTAACTAGAAAAGGCCCTTGAATGCAGTATAGAATGCCAGCAGTTCTGAAAATTAGATTGCAGAAAAAGGGGCAAGGGGTGGGGAGAGGGAGTCATCTGTGACTTATTCTGCCTATGCATTTGCTATTACTGTTACCTAGTTTGGTTGCAACCAGTTCTTTTCATTCTTAGTTATAGCAAGAGAATAGTACAGACCTGAATGAGGTTTGAAATTTGACCCTAATCCAGTTTTATATCACTGCTGCTGGTTGAACAGTCAGAGTGTAAACTCAGAAATATTCTGTAATGAGATTTAAGTGTGTCTGTAGTCCAAAGACATTAAAGTAAATTCGGGAGAAAAAAGGAAACCGTCGAGTGCCCTTGTAGTTTGGTTGGCCTGTTAACTAGGTCTGCTAATTGATGAACTCCTGAGATACCTCTCTGAAAAGTCGTTGGTGAAACCTATAGATAGACTGCCAAAAAGCAACCTAATGAATTGAATTGTTTAATTTTCACTTGAAGTAGGGGTCTAGAAATAAAAAGCCTCTTTTTTTTTTGTAAAGAGATTCAATTATACGACTTTGTAAAGAAGCACAACTGCAGAGATTTATACTTGTGATTTGAAATTTCTTCAGTGAAGGACTTGATTGAAGAGACAGCTGACTTGAAAGGAACACCGTATCAGTTTGATTAGTGACAGATTTCATAGTAATCCCGAGTGTGCGGTTACACACATCCTGGGTTCTATGTGGAGTCCTTATACATTTCTTCAGCAAAGGGCAAAGATTTCAGAATTGTAACAAAAAGAGGTTATATTGTAAAAGAAGAAATTATCTTTGACATTTTGTAATTTACTTAATGGACAACAATAGTTTAAAACTCTTAAACTATTTTTTTAAATCTTCATTCCTCTACAGGTCAGCATATGAACTCTAGTTTTAAAAGTTCAGTTTAAGTTCTGGAGATTGTCGCACAACAATGTGAATATAACTAACATATACTTAAAGATCAAATATTGATCATTGTTGAAACTCAGTGATGAGGGGAGTCAGTTATTTCTTCTAGGTATGTTTGAAAATTATATAAAATGTTAAAGTTGTAAAAATATACATTAAAGATACAATAGAGTACCATCATTTGCTTGTTAATTCTTCTAGTGTTAAGTGACAAACCTGGTTTACAGAGTATTGTTTCATTTCACACCTGCAGTTGAGTTTTCCCCGCAGAACATTTTTTGAACAACATGTATTTTAGAATATCTGTTTAGACAAATTGCTTTCTAAAGTGTAACACAAACTACTGTACTTTTTTTTTTTTGAGATAAGATCCCCCCCTCCCCCCAGGGAGTAGAGTGGCATGATCATGGCTTATTGCAGCCTCAAGTGACCCTCCACTCAGCCTCCTGAGCAGCTGGGACCACAGGCGCATACTACACGCTAATTTTGTAAAAATGTTTTGTAGAGATGGGGGTCTCACTATATTGCCCAGGCTGATCTTAAACTACAAGGCTCAAGTAATCCTCCTGCCCTGGCCTTACGAAGTGGTGGGATTACAGGAGTAAACCTGTATTTTCAATTAAATCAAATACTTGGGAGTATAAAACCAATACTTTAAGAAGCATTTACTCATGAGAAAACTTGACCAGAAGAGAAAAAAAAAATTTATAATCTTCTACAAACTGTCAGACACTGGGAGTCAAACATGTTTTCTTACAGCGTAGTTTGAAAGATAAACGTGAGTGGACTGAGAATGCCAGTTTCACTACTGAATAATGGTTTTATTTTAGTCCCGTCTTCTCTACTACTTCAAAATTGACACATTTCTAATTCAGGACAAACAAGACATTTTTCACGATATTTTCTACCTATTCATTAGTTAATATTAAATACCTCTCTGGTTGTGTGTGCCAAGCTCAGTATTTTGTTTTTTTCATGTCAAATATATACTGTTGATGCTACACTATTGTGTCATTAAAGGCATACTGTTAATATTTAAAGTCTTCAGTGGTTTAAAGGTTAATATAGAAGTTTTTTAGCTATATGTCTCTTGGGGTTAAAATAAAAATTCAGGTTAATTGGGAACACTGTAAGGTTCGGGTCATTTTTTCCGCTCTTTAAGTGACTATATTTTATTTTATTACTCATTCATTGAATCAGATGCTTAAAGTTCTTTTTTTTTTTTTTTTTTGAGACACAGTCTTGCTCTGTCTCCAGGACGGAGTGCAGTGGCACGGTCTCAACTCACTGCTGCAACCTCTACCTCCTGGGTTCAAGCGATTCTCCTGCCTTAGCCTCCCGAGTAGCTGTGACTACAGGCGAGTGCCACCACGCCCAGCTAATTTTTGTATTTTTAGTAGAGATGGGGTTTCACCATAAACCCTGAAGCCTCCTGAAGTGCTGGGATTACAGGCATGTGCTACCATGCCCAGCCTCTTTGTGTGTGTGTGTGTGTGTGTGTGTGTGTGTGTATGTGTGTGTATGTGTGTGTTTGAGACAGTCTCACTCTGTTGCCCAGGCAGGAGTGCAATGGTGTGATCTCAGCTCACTGCGACCTCCGCCTCCTGGATTCAAATGATTCTCCACTACAGCCTCCCAAGCAGCTGGGATTACATGCCCCCGCCATCATGCCTGGCTAATTTTTGTATTTTTGTAGAGATGGGGTTTTGCCATGTTGGCCAGGCTGGTCTTGAACTCCTGACCGCAGATGATCCTTCCGTTTCAGCCTCCCAGAGTCTGGTATTACAGGAATGAGCCACCGTGCCTGGCCCAGATGCTTAAAGTTCTGAAGACATTTAAAAATTTTTATTTTCATCAACAATTAGCTCTTTTACTTTTAAAACTTATATCCAGCCGTGTCCTTAGTTTTTCCTCCAGATTGTGAAGAAGACAACAACTTGCATTTATAGACTTTTTTTCTTCAGAAATTAAATGCTTGTTAATGTACAGGATCTCCCTTTTCCCATCGTGGCTGAGTGGATTATCTCTTTACTGCAGAGGTCATTCTCTTCCCTCAGTTATATTTTCCTCCTCCTCTCCTAGGCCAGGCCAATTCTCATTAGTCCAGTACTATTTTTTTTAAGAGGAAAAAAAAGATGAAAATGCGTATGTAATGAGAGTCACTAGTAGATTTAGGGAAGAAAACCTGTGGGTTCTGATTTGCATTCAGTTCTTGGACCTCTTAAAGAACAGTACTTTTTCTTTGTATTTTTAAAGAGTCATGCACTGGACTTCTGAGCATATTGTCACTTTTTTGGTTTTTTGTTTTGTCTTTTTGTTTTTGCAGAAATCCATGTCTATAGAGACCTATTTTATGTAGGCTAATCTTAATTTGGGGTGGTGGTTTTTTTTTTTTTTTTTTACTTTTAAATAGACTCTATTTTTTAGATTTGCAGAAGAACTGGAAAGATAATACAGAGAGTTTCCATATATACTGCACCCAGCTTCCTCTTATTAACATCTTAGAACAGTATGGTACATTTGCCATAATTATTGAATCAGTACTCAAGTGATTACTAACTAAAGTCTTCCGTTTATTCAGATTATCTTAGCATTTACCTAATACATTTTTCTGTTCCAGGATACCATATTACATTTAGTTTTTGTGTCACTGTAGGCTCCTCTTAGCTGTGACTGGCAGTTTCTTAACCTTATTTTTGATGACCTTGACAATTTTGATATTAACTTTCTGAAATACTATGTAACACTGAGAAACCAAGGAGCACATAAGCAGAACTTGACCTTCACACTTCCTGACAATCTCCCTAGAGTTTTCTGGCTGATTTAGCCCTTAATTGAAAATATAATTCTAGGAGAAACTTTTCTTTTCTCACAGTAGAGCAAATGCCGAAATCTGTACAAAATGGTAAATTCTGTATGTTTAGTAATAGGAAAGCCTGAAATTTGTCAAAGGATTGGGAAACATGAAGTAGGAAATTTGTCTCATGTCTAATGAAATACAAGGGCTGAATAGACTGATCAGCACCACCTGTCCTCAGCCCCGCCCCCAAGTGGATTGGATTGTTTTCGTTGCTTGGTTGGGCTCTTCACTAACAGCTGTTTGCTGAATATTTTTAAGTCACTCTGTTCTTTTAGAACACAAGCCTAATTTATCTGGCCTCTCAGTAACACTGTGATTACTGAGTTCTTGCCATTGCCTTCTGCTCAATCTTTTTCATTTTGAAAAAATTCAGTAAAACCAAGTATCACAATTTTAGGATTGCAATTAGCATTTGTTTCTGCATTTCATCTTGCTGAAGTTTCTACAATGACTAAAACATTCTCATTTTTGGAAGTTAAGCAATACGAGGGATGCATAGAGCAAAAAATTCTCAAACTTATGAGTAGAAGACCCTCCCTTGTCATTTCTTTTCCCACATTGCTCCAAACAGACGGTATAAAATATAATGTGTCTTTTTCCACAGGTACACTCGAGTGGCTATATCCAAATGAGTTGTCCCCTTAAAGATGTCAACTTGGGAGTTTTCAGTGAAAACTGCCTTTGCCAGTGTGCTCAGAATGTTAATTTTGGATTACTGTTTTTATCTTTTGGCACCTTCCTTTGACTGCTCTCAATCATGATACATTTTCATCTTTTTGGGGATAATGACTTTCAGAAACATTCAAAAGTCACTCAACAAAATAAGGAGAATAAGATGGCAGGATGAAGGTAGATAATCTCATTTTTTAGACACACCCCACATGTGACGTAATGGAACTCATTTTCTTGCATGATTGTAAGCTGTCCCTTAAGGCTTTCCAAAAAAATATTTTGAGTGGTGAGAACTTCAGTAGAGTAAGAGTGTAACCTCCCAAGGTAAGGAGACGGCTGAGTAGTCTGAAAGAGAAGAATCATATGTACACTTTAGCTTATTCAAACAATCTCAGTGCTTGTTGTCAACCTTCAGTGTGTCAGAATTTCCTGTAGAACCCAGTATATTCACATATACAGATGTACATACACATGCATAGATGCCTTAGACTTCATTCTATTCTTAACTGAATTACAATCTCAGGAATTGGGTTCCAGGTGGGTATATTTTGAACAGTTACACTAGAATGTTTCTGAGAGCACCAGAAGTTTAGAACCATTACTTTCACTTACATTTCTCAGAGTCCTTGAAGTATAGATTTGACTGTTGTACATACTGTGCTTTTTAAGTAGGAGAACATACTTACCTCTGAAAAGAGGCATGCATATTTATCTCAGAGAAACACAAAGATGGTTTTATTTTTTTCCATCCAAAGGAATCTTATTTTATTGAGCTGCTGCATTAAACCGTATATGCTTTTCCTGCATACCATCTTTCACACGCAATTTATCAGTCTCTCCCACTAGGATGAAAATTCCATGCAGGCAAGGACCGTTCCTGTATTGCTCATTGGAATGTCCCTGGGACAAGGCCAGGTGCAGTGGCTTATGCCTGTAATCCCAGCACTTGGGGAGGCTGAGGCGGGTAGATCACGAGAACAGGAGATTGAGACCAGCCTGGCCAACATAGTGAAACCCTGTCTCTACTAAACTACAAAAAATTATCCGGGTGTGGTGGCGTGCACCTGCAGTCCCAGCTACTAAGGAGGCTGAGGCAGGAGAACCGCTTGAAACTGGGAAACACAGGTTGCAGTGAGCCAAGATTGTGCCATTGCACTCCAGCCTGGTGACAAAGACTCTATCTCCAAAAAAAAAAAAAAAAAAAAGTGTCCCTAGGACAGTGCTTGGTTCATAGTAGGTACTCAAGAATGAATGAATGTATCAGAAATAAATATGCAAGGCTTAATGAGCCATGATTTAAGTAGCTCTGAACCTGAACTTGCCCTAATGACTTTAAGTTACATTGCCATATATAGCAACAGATATTTATTGAGCTGTGACTGTGACTTAGAGAACCAAGCGAAGTCAACTGACTTAGACACAAATCCCCTCTTTGCCATTTACTAGTACTGACCTTGAGATAGTCACTTAACTTCTTCTGTGGCTTCATTTGTAAGAAGAGATGATTAATTGAAAAGATCTCTGGAGTTCTTTTCATCTCTGAGAAATTCTGTGATAGTAAGAGCCTGGTATGCCATGCATAATAGGTGACTCCAAAGGAAGCCTCCTTAAAAAACAGAGGGGGGCTGGGTACGGTAGCTCAAGCCTATAATCCTAGCATTTTGGGAGGCCAAGGCAGGAGGATCCACTGAGGCCAGGAGTTCAAGACCAACCTGAGCAACATGGTGAAACCCCATCTCTACTAAAAATACAAAAATTAGCCTGGCATCATGGTGCGTGTCTGTAATTCCAGCTGCTCAAGAGGCTGAGATGTGAGAGTTGCTTGAACCTGGGAGGCAGAGGTTGCAGTGAGCTGAGATCACACCAATGCACTTCAGCCTGGGCAACAGAACAAAACTCCTTCTCAAAAAAAATAATAATAATAATTGAGGATTTTGGTTATGGGACTCATTTTTAATTGTTTAAATATATAGTTTACCAATTAATCAGATGACTGGCAAATTTCAAGTGAACTCTCAAGTCTAGAACTTTATGCCTAACGATAAGAATAAACATAATAACTTTTAAGTATTTTCAGTAAGAATGGCTTTCTCTTTGTGAAACCAACCTCTTCCCTGCTCTGAAAGAAGGAATATTTTTGTAGCTGTGAATTGGGCAACTCGTCTTGTGTGGCAGGGTGTTTTATTGTGTTCACTGACTAGGAAAAAGAAAAGTTAGGAAAGCATGGAGAGAAGAAATAAAAGGCTGTAGAATTTTTATCAGTGTTTAAATCCTCTTCACTTTTCACCCAGCACTTAGAGCAAGAGAAACATGAACTGAGAAGACGATTTGAGAACCGAGAAGGGGAGTGGGAAGGCCGAGTGTCAGAGTTGGAAAGTGATGTGAAGCAGCTACAGGATGAGTTGGAGAGGCAGCAGGTTCATCTGCGGGAAGCAGATCGAGAAAAAACACGGGCTGTCCAGGAACTGTCGGAACAGAACCAAAGGCTATTGGATCAGCTCAGCAGGGTGAGTCACAAATTAAGAATTTAAGATATAAAATACTAAAAGTTGAAATAGGCTGGGCACGGAGGCTCATGCCTATAATCCCTGCACTTCAGGAGGCTGAGGTGGGAGAATCACTTGAGACCCATGTGGGCAACATAGGGAGACCCTATCTTTACAAAAAAATTTTTTTAATTAGCTAGGCTAGATGAATCTGGAGAACATCATTCTTAGCAAACTGACACAAGAACAGAAAATGAAATAATGCATATTCTCACTCATAGGCGGGGGATGAAAAATGAGAACTCATGGACACGGAAGGGAGTACTACACACTGGGGTCTACTGGGGGGAATAGGGGAGGGACAGCGGCGGGGCGGGGGAGCTGGGGAGGGATAGCCTGGGGAGAAATGCCAAATGTGGGTGAAGGGGAGGAAGGCAGCAAAACACACTGCTATGTGTGTACCTATGCAACTATATTGCGTGTTCTGCACATGTACCCCAAAACCTAAAATGCAATAAAAAAAAAAATTAGCTAGGCCTGGTGACACCTGCCTGTGGTCCCAGCTACTTGGGATGCTGAGGTCGGGGAATTGCTTGGGCCCAGGAGGTAAAGGCTTCAGGGAGCTGTGATCGATTGTGCCGCTGCACTCCAGCCTGGGTGACAGAGTGAGAGCCTGTCTCAGAAAAAATAAGCCAGTTGAAATAGAGCTTCTGTTAATGTAAGTCATATAGATGATAAGAGCAATACTAATTTTTTATGCCTTTGTTTTTAACAAAGTTAAGTATCTTCTATCTACAAGAACTTTGGTATTACTAAACTAGGGGCAAGAGCCAAGATGCATGCTTGTGATTAACAAGCCACAGACTTTGACAGTGACTTAACTTGATTTTTAAAATGAAGGGGTTGTGCTTAATGATTTCTGACATTTTTATAGCTCCAGAAGTCCGTGATTCCTTTACCGAGAGAAAGTCTATCTGTGGCAAAATTGTGCTAATTCATTTAGTTCAAATATTACTGTCTTTAAACTTTTTAAGCTTAGGGAAAATTTCTAGAGCAGTTGATTTTTTTATTGATGTTTAATTTGTGAATGTACATTTTTTGTATTGTTTAAATATGAAAAACATATATCTGTATTGAAAATTTGTTTTATTTCCACATTTAGTAAACCTTTATTTTTACCTTTCTAAGGTGGTATCATGGAAGTATTAACCAAAGTCAAGACTGTAAAATCATTTCAAGGAAGTAGGTTGAGGCTAAATAGATGGAAATATAATTTAAATACAGAACCTATCTTTTAAAGAAATGTAGGAATGTTATTAATGCCCTGGTCTATAAATCCACCTATTTTAGAAAATTAAGACTTGGATTTACTGTTGTACCTCAGTCATTCTTGTATATTGAAAATGAAACTACTAACTCTTCAGTCACCAGGGAAAAAAGAATTTCTCTGATATCATCCCTCAGCACTAATGTTCTCATGAGAGCACTGCCTTGTCTGCATAGTTAGTGTTTGGTGCTTTGGTCTTAGGGAAAAGCATGGATTGGGGAGCATTTCATAAATTCCTGGATCTTCCACTAATTTGATGGGTGATATTGTATGAAGTTATTATACTAGTTTGTGTCATAATTGCTTCCCATATGACCATGGGAAGCATTCTGAGACCAGTGGAAAAGCCATGTCTCACAAGAATATGGGAAGTAAATGCCACCAGTGGGGAAGGGAGGAGAAGGAAAAGTAGAGGAGAGGGAGAAAGAGAAAGAAAGAAAATGATGCTTACTAACTTGGAAAATAGTTGCAGGGAAATACCAGAATGTTTGTGAGAGGTGAGGATTCAGGCAATAGGTAGAGCTAAAGATCTTGCCTGCAGGTTTCTCATCTGGAGAATCCAGCCACCATTTGATTGTCTGGGAAGTAAGAGTTGGACAGTTCAGGAAATCACTTCACAGGGCCAGCTCAGTAACAGGATTTTTGATTCAGTTCTAAAACCTTTTTCAGCAACTGGGAGGGGGATCTCTATCTTCGGAAAAATTTTTATGTTTTTGAGTATTTTCATTCATTATTCATGAAAGATTCAACCAGAGAGCCCTGGCTAGAGTGATTTATTTGTTCGAAAACATTTAATACATATTTTGAGCAAGTATTTCTTATGGAGACTTATAGAATGAATACAACAAACCAGAAAAATTAAAGGGGAAATTAGGATCTCTTGGGGGCTAAGTTCCTGTTACAAAATAACATGAGCTAAAGCAGATTCAGCCCTCTGAAAGATAGGTGACCAAGAGAGATGAAGGGAAAATGCAGATCTCAACATGACATAGCAAAAGCTCACAGAGCTTGGGATTTAACTTTGTTACTCATTAATTGGGTGACCTTGTTTGTGCCTCAGTTTCCTTTTCTTTAAATGGGTGTCAAAATTTATGCCTCGGCTGGGCGATGTGGCTCACTCCTGTAATCCTAGCATTTTGGGAGGCCGAGGCGGGTGGATCGTGAGTTAAAGAGATCAATACCATCCTGGCCAACATGGTGAAACCCCGTCTCTACTAAAAATATAAAAATTAGCTGGACGTGGTGGCGTGCTTGTAGTCCCAGCTACTCGGGAGGCTGAGGAATCAGAATCACTTATGAACCTAGGAGGTGGAGATTGCAGTGAGCCGAGATCATGCCACTGTACTGCAACCTGGTGATAGAGTGAGACTCCATCTCAAAAAGAAAAAAAAAAATTATGCCTCATACAAGTACTATTGAAACGAAAAATGAGATGTGTTTATGTTAAGCAGTATATGAAGGTAAGGATTTATTTAGGTGTTGATGGCTATTTTACTAAAGCTGTGTCTTTATAATTTGTTCTCTTTGCCTAATTTCTTATAGAAAATCCTGATAAGCTGCTCCCAAAAGAATGTAGGAGGATAACATTTCTACTAGACCTAGATTTTTGTTATCCTCTCTGGCCTTGAATATAGGCTCTTGGTGCGTTTTGTAGCTTTTTCCCTTTTTCAAGCAGGACAGTCCCCTGGGGTTTCCATCAGCAGCAAGTTTTGACAGCATTTTATTAATTGAGTATACAGGAACCAGAGGAGTTAAGTATTTTGAAGTGAATTAAGATTCTCCTAAGACAAGATAATCAGCAGAGGTAGAAGGCCGTGCTTTTCTTACAGTGTTTATAATGTGTTTTTATAAGTATGAAATGTGTAATATCTAAAATATAGTACAATATTTCTTTGATTCTTTCATCCAGCATTTACATACGTCTCATTGGCTTCCTTGGCCTCCAGGCTGCTCTTCTTTTTATTAATAACAGCTTTATTGAGCTATAACTCACATACTGTAAAGTTTACCCTTTGAAAGGGTACAATTGGGGCTTAGCCCAGTGGCTCATGTCTGTAATCTCAGCACTTTAGGAGGCTAAGGCAGGAGGATCACTTGAGGCCAGGAGCTTGAGACCAGACTAACTATACAGCAAGACTCTAGCTCTACAGAATTTTTTTTTTCTAATTCGCCGTGTGTGGTGGTGGTACATACCTGTAAGTCCTAGCTAATTGCTTGAGCCCAGGAATATGAAGCTGCAATGAGCTATGATCACACCACTGCACTGCAGCCTGAGTGACAGATTGAGATTTTGTCTCTTAAAAAAAAAAAAAAATTCAGGGCTGGGTGCGGTGGCTCACACCTGTAATTCCAGCACTTTGGGAAGCCAAGGCAGGCAGATCACAAGGTCAGGAGTTCGAGGGCAGCCTGACCAATGTTGTGAAACACTGTCTCTACTAAAAATACAAAAGTTACCCGGGAGTGATGGTGCATGCCTGTAATCCCGGCTACTCAGAAGGCTAAGGCAGGAGAATTGCTTGAACCCAGGAGTCAGAGGTTGCCGTGGGCTGAGATCATGCCACTGCACTGTAGCCTGAACAACAGAGTAAGACTCCATCTCAAAAAAAAAATAAAAGTCTTTTTAAAGTGTGTAATTAGGTAGTTTTAGTTATTTACAGAGCTGTGCACCATCACCATTATCTAATTAGAGAACATTTCACCTTCCCAAAAAGAAACCCTGTGCCTGTTAGCAGTCACTCATTTCTTCTAACCTTATAATGACACCAGCCATATTGGATTAGACCCACCCTAATGACATCATTTTAATTAGATTACCTGTCTCTAAATAAGACCCTGTCTCTTAATAAGTTCACATTCTGAGGTACTGGGGTTTGAACTTCAATATATGGATAGGGAAAGGGGAACATAATTCAACCCATAAGAACCTTGTTGGGGTTTTCTTACCAACAGACGCGACTCTTGGATCTTAATCCGTGCTGTTTGTGGGAGGTGTTCACAGTTGTGCCACTTTTCTTGGGGGTTCCATACACTTAATAACATTTACATACCAAAGATACATATGCCTTTGGCCATGTGACTAAGCTGCCATGGGAAGATATTTGGAACCCTTAATTTTATTCTTTGAAAAAGTCCCAATCTACCTCTCTCATTACCCTCCTCTAATGACTAACCTGCATTCTATTCATTCATTTAATTCTTTGGAGTAAAATATGAAAGCCTTTATTTTTTTATTTTTTTAGATCTTTTAAAATTCAACTTTCAGCAAGTATTTATTGATCAAGGCACTGGCAATACAGTGAAGAACACACGTTTTCTGTTTTATGAAGCTAGTTGGAGGCGATATGTAAATAACTAAACAATCTACAAGATACAGATTGAGATAGGTGCTCTGAAGGGTGATTTGTTAGTGACTGACTAGAAAGCAGGGAGCTTTTTCTACCCTAGAGTCGGTAGGGGGCCAGTCACGGTGGCTCACGCCTATAATCCTAGCACTTTGAGAGGCCGAGGTGGGTGGATCACCTGAGGTTAGGCATTCTAGACCAGTCTGAACAACATGGTTAAATCCCATCTCTACTAAAAATACAAAAATTAGCCAGGCTGGTGGCATGAGCCTGTAATTCCCACCTGCCCTTGAGGCTGAGGCAGGAGAATCGCTGGAACGTGGGAGGCGGAGGCTGTAGTGAGCTGAGATTGC